ATACATTAACATTAAACAACTAAATCAATTTCATTTACTTTACTTTACACAGTAACTTATCATTTTCTCTAAAAATACAACAACAAAATCTCTTCTTCCCGTATTTTATCTTATATCAAAAAAAAACCTATAAAGCCTTGTTGTTCAAACTTAATTTTAAAAAATCCCATTAAGGGCCACCAGAAAATTTTAATCTTTAAACCCTTGAAATCATATCCTACAAATTAATTTCTTATCATTTTCTCTTCATCTGCTCTCAGAAACTTCTTTGCAAATTTAGCATTTTCCTTCAATTTTAATATCATAATCATACAACAAAAAATCCCTTCTTCCCATATCTTATCTAATAGTAAATCTTTAAAGCCTCGTCGTTCAGTCCTGATCAAGGAAAACCCATTAAAAGCTACTAGAAGAAAAAATAATATACTGTATTTTAAATTAAAATATATGAATATATTTTAAATTAAAATACATGAAAATATACATTCTAATATTATTAGAAAATACTAACAATAATATATCAGACCTAAATAAGGAAAATGAACATTGCACTAACGTGATGCAAAATATTACTTACTGCATTTTTGCCTTGGATTCTGCAGGCACTGCATGTCTTGCACTCAATACATTGCCATCTTAAGGCCTTCACATTCGTTGTTAACTCCAAACAAAATTTCAGACAGGATGGATGCCCTATTAAACAGCCAAGAATTATAACATTTATTTTAGCATTCTGTTACAGCAGAAACTCTAGTATCTTCTCAGAGTAAAAGTGTATCAATACTGACTACTGTTACTTATTCTTACTTAGGGACAGGATTAGTGATATTTGCTTAAAATATTTTATTATAGGATCTAGAAAAGATATGTCCAGTTGTTTGAATGACATGCATTGCAGAGCTCACAAACAGGTCTGACCCATGTATTAAAAACTAAAATTGCCCTGAAATACATTTTTGTTCACTGTAATCTATTCTCACCACACTAAGCAACTGAGTACTATATGTTCACACTTTTAGTTTTCCAGATTATACAGTTCTGTTTATAATATTACAATCATTTGATGAAAGCAAAAGATACACAAAGACTGACACTATTGAAGACTTTGTCACTTCGGTAGACTGTATTATGTCTGAAGAACAGAGAAACTACAATGACAAAGACTAGTTTATATACGAGTTAGGGGCAGGATCAAGCTAGACCCATTATGCAAAGACTGTAGAAACTGACGGTGTTAAGGATTTTTCCAATCCTTTATGCATCCCTGCCTTGGCCAACATATCTTCTAGATAGAAAATTTAGGAAATGGAAGAACACAAACCCTAAAATAAATAAAGTTACTTGCCTAAAATTATCCTACACATCCAAAATATTATCCAGAGAGGCTTCAGGTGACCATATCAGTCTTTGAATGAATGAAGCCCAGGCATGTAGCATGAAAACCACTGCACCAATTATCTCTCTGGCATACATCTCCAGAAGAGCTTCTAAGACGCATCATTATTCTTATCCGATGAAGGTTATAGGATGGCATGTAGCAAGTTACAAAAACTACATGAAGTAGGCAGTAAAACAGTATTTTTAATCATTACTTCTTACCAAAGTTTTACTGAACTTCATGTCCTAAAGAGAGAGAAAATACCGGAAGTGGATGTACGTTTAGCTAGAAAGCCAACCTACTGAGGCCACAATAATGTGCAAGGGATGAGAGAGGTGTATCAACTCAATAATGGTGCTATCCAAAGATGACACGGGTAATATATCCCACCTTTCTATCCTTAGAGCACTCAAGGAGGGTGACAGTCAAAAAATGCTATTTAGCCAAAACAGCTAAAATTATTAATCCGTATCAAACATAGGAGAGAACACTGAGGTAGGTAAGGTAAAGTCTTGATTAAGGAAGGATCACTTTGGCAAAAGGAATATTCAAGTCAGAGAAGAACACTGTCTCTATGGATAAAGAAAGAAGAAGGATCAGAGGCGCCTATCCTATGGAACAGCACACCAACTGGAATTAGGATGGTCCTGACCCTATTGGCTTGTCATAGAAGACTGAAGATGTGGCTCTTCCGCAGGGCATTGAGCTGTCTTGTGCATCTTGTGTTAAATTGCTATTACTTGGGTTCAATAAGTCTGCTTTTTTTAATCTGTTTTTTCAATTATTTTTGTTTTTAATGATTGTGAGCCACCCAAAGTCATGCACAAGTGGGAAGCCATATAAACAAAATGTATTAATGCATGAATTAATAAACAAACAAACGAAACAAGAGCCTTAGATAGAGCTTATATTCCTCTGCCCAATATTGCAATGAGGAGCGGTTAGTTATTAATTACAATAAAACCAAAGTACTTATCTTTTCTGAAAGACTGTTGATTCATCACTGAAGAAATAATACATCAACCATTAAGCAAATTACATTTTAAAAACCTGGAATACATTTCCAAGCAATGGCAATCTGGAACCATCAGCAAAGGGGGGGTCACAGGCAGAGCTCCCCAACTTTCAAACACAATGTTGAGCTTTGCTAATCACAATAGCAACAATTATTTCCCTGCTGCCATTAAAATTTCAGGCTAAGGTCATCAGCTATTTTTAAGGCACAAAGATTTATCCTTATTAAAATGTAATCCCAACTGAGGCTGTGCAATCTAGATTTTTGAGAGCTTTGCTGCAAGAACACTGCTGCATAACGAATGTCTCACTGAGACTAGAACCTGGTCTAATTTGAATATTCTGGTAACGGCTCAGCCTTCCAGATCCAGAAGGGCACGTTTATGTCTTCCTGGAAGACTGGTATCAGTAGAGGCTTTACTCTCACCGCCCACAATGTTTTGCGATACTTCCTGCTTCAAGGAGTTTTTAACTACATTCCTACACAGGATAGAGAAATTGTTCATCTGATAGAAGAAACAGAAAACAGTCTCCCACATACTTTTGTGCTGTTCCTTCTACAGAATGTGGTGGGCTGACTTAATAACACCTCTTCTAGACTATCTTCGCTCTGGCTCAGAAGAGAACATTTTCCCTCTCTTAGCTGACAGATCTCTGAGCATTTCTAGAAGACTATTGGTCTTAGACACCCAGTTGTGTAGCACTTTGGGGAACCTTAATATTTTTATGTAACTGGTTTTATGGTTTGCTGACATTGGCTTCTGACCATACATTTAATAGGATTAAATGTTCATTTGGCTGTAATAAGCCTTATAACATCTTGGATCAAGATACAATGTCTTGATTCTTACTTGAAAGAGTGATGAGATATAATTCCATGCACAGACCTGGGAGTGTGAATGCAAAAGGCTCTACTTATCTCTAGGTCCGTGTATGCCTTTGAATCAATGCTGACTTCTGGTGATTGCCTGGGCAAGTCAATTTTGGAAGTGTTGATTCCTGGTAACTGCCTTGGCAAGGTTTCGGAAGTGGTTTGCCATTACCTGCTTCCTAGGGCTGAGAGAGAATGACTGGCCCAAAGTCACCCAGCTGGTTTTGTGCCTAAGGTGGGACTAGAACTCACGGACTCCTATTTTCTAGCCTGATGCCTTAGCTACTGCACCAAACTGCCTCTCTCTAGGTACAATAGCAAGTAAAAAAACTCCGCCTAGGATTATTTCTGCTATTTCATTTGAGTCTTTTGATATTCCTATCGGTCTGTTATTTTCAATAAAAATGTATTCTCCAATGCAGTACTAATCTGCCAAGCCATATATATATGGCAGACCTCTAAAAAATGTGAATTACTTTGCATTTTATTAAGAACAACTTTAGGATTTAGCCATTTAGCAATTTGATTGCCGATCTCAAAATTTTATGTTCAATTACTAAACATGTCTACTTAGCCAATTAAACATATTTTATCTATAACGTATCTGAAAGTTTATTTAAAAACTGAAATTCTGAATTTTGATCTCCCATACAACTGACTGAATTGTTATGATGAAAGATATATCACTGATTACATAATGTATTAATAGTAAAAAGCCATATCTGCAGGGAATGAAAAGCAACATCTCTTCCACAAATCACAGAAAATTCTATTTTCACAAGTGAATTGTGAAGCCAGGAGCATCTACTAGAGAAATAAAGGAATAAAAAGTATATCACTGAATATCTCCTGGCAATCTCATTTCCAAATTTAAATGTTCAGTGTGACAAGAAGAAGAAAATAACATGTGGTTGGGGTAATCATATTAACTACAGTATATTTGTTTATACTGTATTTATTTAATTAGTTTTAAATTAAATCTGTTCATTTCTTAGATGGCAGTGCCTGGGATGGTAATTAAAGCCCCCCAACTTGAAAAAATGTAAGTATCCTGCCTTAATCAATCAATGCAGAGGAACCACAAGGCATGGCTTCTCTTCACAAATCTTTCATTTTTAGATAGTTAAGGCCTTAAGTCATTCCATTACAAAAACAGGGACATCTGCCATGCAACAAGAAACTTAGCTATATAATACAAGTAAACTACTGGATACCAGATGATACTGCACATATGTAGGAATGAGCTATCACATCTGTATCCTGCTTGGGTCCTCCTAATGGCATGATTCCCACTGGACTACATGGGCCTTTGATCTCATCCAGTTCAGCTCTTCTAACATTTTATATGCATGCATTCCACATAAAACAGATGCAGCCATAAAAAGACAAAGTCTCTTTTATGAAAGTTCCTCTATGAAGCACATGAACTTTGACAACTGAAAATCCTATAACAGAATACGTGTTAAATAAAAGTAGTCATTTCTACAGGTATACTAGTGAGTGTACCTTCTTAGCTGTATTTTACTTCTCTGGGAGCATTTCAGTATAACAACTGCACCAAACAATACTTCATTCCTAGTCAATTATTTCATACTTTTCTCTGTCAAGGACCTAACAATTAGAGCTGTACATACTTCAAAAATGTTTGGGAAGCCATGTTTCAGAACATGTGGGAGAGTTAATGCTTTTTTAAAACAGCCATAACATGTTTCAAGGTTCTGTGTGAACCTGAAAAAATGGGTGTCTGCTTTAACACATTAAAGCCAAAGTTGCTTTAATGAGTTAAGACATTGTGTTCATTAATTCCAAAGTATTTGGTCCAAATAGGGGCATCCACAGGTATAGGGTCAAAAAATCAAGATGGCAGCCTCAACTGTGTGATGTAACCCTACCTCATTTTTATAGCCAGTGATATGACACCAAAAAGGGCCAGGACTTTTGATTACATGGTGACAGATGTCATCATGACATTTGTCAAGCACCCTGTTTTTGAATCATTTTTGAACCATGTGCAATCATCCTAATCATTATCATCACATTTTTTATTTTCTGTTCTGCTCACTTATTTCATAATTTGCATTCAGACATCCTTACTATGAGGATGTGAAAAAATAAGTATTGATGTTGTTCATTATGAATCAATAATGAGTTCACCCTCTTTTGTACTCTGCATACAAATTCTAATTAGAGGATGTTCTTTTTCCTCTCTCATTGTAACAGTTGTCACCTAAGATTCACAGAGCCAAAGAAGCTGCTTCCCATTGCATTCCTCGATCACCATTCAGGTTATGGAGCCTATCAATCTGCTTCTTCATTCATAGACAAGAAATAAATATTTGCACTAAATAGAGAGGAAAAAAACTGAACTAGGCTGCAAATCTATTCTTGGAAGATACAGCATCTATTTTTCTTAACATTTCCTTGACCCCCATAGCAAACCCTGGATTTGGATATGAAAAAAAAGTAAGAAAAATGTTGACTCATTCTCCTTTCCTTTGACTTCCTTTCATTTTCCAACATGATCTACACAATCATCTATTAACAACATTCTACTACTTTATACTGGGTGGTTTTCAAAGTGACCTTCTGCTGAAATAATTTCAGATAAAAACAAAAGAGAAAGGAGACAAAGGAAAAGCTAACATACAATAAATGGAATGGATAAAACAAAGAAAAAGGTTTCATCAAGCAATGATGAAGAAAATAGCTGCAGCGGTGATCAAAAAGGACCTGAGTAAAGGCGGGAATTGCATCCTTCAGCATATGCCTGGGTGGAGACCATGGATCTATTGCCAAAACAGAGCTCAAATAAACATTCCAAAGAGTTTGTTGCAGGGATATGCAAACCTCTTTGTGTGATCCATAGAGACTATAAACAAAATATATCCCCAAACCAATGGGAAAATATTTCACCTTCCTAAGATACTGTCTGAGACCTCAAGGTAATTGGGTTAAGAATTGATGAATTTAGCCAAACTGGACTATCTATTGAGCATAAAAATGCCTGTGTCATATCTAACTACCATGTTGGATTTTGTCACTATCCAAAGCAATTTTCTTTCACTATTTCCCTTTTTTCTCTTCTCTTCCCACTGCATCCGCAGCAATGGCTGTGCATATAGAATACTTCTCTCTCAAAACTACACTCTTGTGCATCTGATGAAATCCACAAGAGCTTAGGCAATAATACATTTCTTAGCCTTTAAGGCACCATAATTTCTTTATCATATTTGAGTGACACAGCTACTCCACCACCTGTATCAGGTAGATGGGTAGCAGCAAATCACATATTAAACTATTTATTTTTAAAAGACTAAAACAAAAAGCAAACATTCCGAAATGCTACCTTTTTGCTCTGTGAATGGAAAGAACTGTTTTCAGAGAAAATTATAATCATGGAAGAAAGCTTTCTAACTTACACCCTCTTGGGAGTGAAGATCTCCTTCCACTGATTGAAGCATCTTGGAGAACCATCAATTTGCAAATATAAATATGCCTTGACAACTCTAGTTTGGCCAGACTGAATGACTTACCACTGCTCCCACAGTCAGCGCAGGAAAGGAGTTCTTCTGGCTTTTTCTCACGGTTTGATTCTTTTGTCCCCAAACAGAAGCTACATATTGGAATGGGATCAGCCCGTGGCTATGGAAAGAATTGTCAAATTAATAGTTAGTTCTCTTCCAAAGAATGTTTTCTCTTTTCTTGACCTCAGCGTAGTAAGATCTTGGTCTGGATTCCTTCTTTACTATCAGAAATAAACATTTTCCCTTTTATATTTTATAATTCTGTAAATTTAAGTACTTTAATTCTTGTTTTCAGAACATTATTCATTCCTAACAACTGGAAATAAATTTGCCAAAGTTTACAATTATTCTTTATAATATCCTGACTCCATAGGTATTAGGAAATAGGATCAAGTATTTCCACCATGTGAAAGCAAGCATATCTTAGATACTCAAATCCCATCTTATGAAAACCAGTTCCACTCCTCTGCTGCCAAAAAGAAAATTAATGTATAAGAAAACTCATAGTCATCAAGAGCTACAGTTGGAATTCTCAACTTATATCCTATTTTCACCTACCTAGATTCACTAGAACATATACATATTTTAATACTACAGTGTGCACAGGTCACAATTCTACATATACTTACCTGGGAGTAAATCTTATTACAATCAGGGGAGTAGACATATACTCTTGAAATTAGTTTCAGAGTTGCGTTTGGGAAAAAGAATTTAAAACACTTGAAGTTTACAAAACCCTGAATTATATGAAATCTACATTCAAATTGTGCAGATACATTTACTTTTTCAATAATCTATACAAAAATCCTTACCACTAAAGGAAGAGTTGCAACTGTCTTTTTCTTTTAAATACCCACATGGTATTTAATGTATGTATGACATACTCTTATTTTGGGGGACACTGTCCTCATAAGAAGGGTGAGCTTATAAAACTCAAAAACAATAATTATAATCTAAGCATTTTCAAAGGTCAGTGATTCTAAATTCTCCTATTTCCCCAAAATAGCAAAATTTGAACAAAAATCAGTATGGACTCACACCTCCTTCAGAGTGGAGGTTAGAGAGAACATATGTGTACATCCTATCTCTCTAGAGAAGAATTTCAAAGATTGATAAAGCATTCTTCCTATATTATCCTATATTAATAGGTCTTACTGGCACACCAAAGGTACAGGAATAGCCAAACCTTTATAATATTCTAATAAATTCCCAATGTTTGGTACTCTGATAGACAGGATACTCTGAAAGATGAAGATGAAGTCATAAATGGCTACAACTCCTACAGAGTGAGAAACCTTCAATGGGTTCTCCTTTGCTTAATAAACTTCTCTTATACATTTTTGAAATACAATACTGTATAATGTAATTTGACCATACCAGTCTGTCATTTAGCAGATTTTTTTTAAAAAAAATCTTGAACCAGATTTCATTCAAAAGCAATTTATTCTTTAAAAAGAAACAAAACACAGTGAATAAAAATAAAAATATCTCTGGGGGAGATGGGCGGCATATAAATTTAATAATATATAAATAATTAAATAAAATCTCAGAATTAAACCACTTTTAAAAGATCACAGCAATGTGAACATTGAACTTAATTACACTATGCTACTTAAAAATAAATATGGTAACTCTTTTCTGAGCCTTCCAACAATAGAAAGGTTTGTTATGCTAAAGATGGCATTAATCTTAACCAGGGGTGACTACAGGGCGTGGTCAAAAAAGTCAAGATGATGGCCGCAAAGATGTGATCAAAGCAGAGCTTCAATTGTATTGTTTGGCTAACCATCTTGACTTTTCTGACTACAAGCTGCAGATATCCCTGATCTTAATTGTAAGCATTTCATGTATTAACATATTACTTTAAAGGTAAGAATCTTGTACTGAATAAGCCTCTAACTACTTGCCAAGAAGCCCAAATCGGCCTGGCCTTTTTTTTTCTTCTGCCCCTTTCACATGATAATCTAGCATAATCAAAACATGGCCTAAGCAGGCTCAACTTGCAGGCACCTATTACAGCTCAACGGGAAGAAGTAACCATATGCGTGCCAATTCCCACCTTCTCCAGGTAAACAGTGACTGTGATTATTCCTTTCCTGCATGTGTGAATTGTTGCCCCATTACATGGTAAGGCTGTCCCTGGAAGGCTGAGGCTCACAACTTCAACCTTTTTTTCATTTTGAGGGACTGGGCATTTTTTATAGAAGATGAAAGGAATATATTAAATCCTACTGAAGCTGAACATAACTTGCTTTCAGCGTCAAAAAAAGACCAAAAATTGTAGACTCAGCATGACTGCTTCGTGGGCCTTCCCAGGCTCCCTTCACATGTGTGCTTTGTTTTGCTGACTGTTCCTGTGACAGCCTGTGCTTTGCACATATACACACACAGAGCTTTACTCCATCGCAATCTGACTTAACTAGGGATTTGGCTGAATTTGATGCACATCCCTACTGTTCCTTATCTAAGACAGTTTTCTTGTTTATTTCAGGTAGAATGTATAAATAGTAGGGATTACATGAATGTCTGAATTAGATTCTTATTTTAAAGGATATAATATGCCTAAAAATAGTTTTCAGAATGTTTACAGTTTGATATAAGATGGGTTGGGCTATTAATTGGTAAGCTGAGTATAAATGTACTTAAAACACGTTTTACCAATGTTAAAGAAAGTGATTAAAATGATTTTCACTTGACTCAATGTTCAAAAGTATTTCACTGTGTCTAGATCCAGTATTACTAGGGAACTTTGGTTATTACCCACAGCTCAAAAGAATACAGTTTTATAAACACATTTCTTTCTCTTTCTTGACATTATGATTGACAGTTGTGTCTGTTATGGGATAAGCACTATAGAGAATCAAGAAGGCCTCCCATGCCAAACAGCATCTAAATCGAAAAGGCATGAAACAAACAGGATGAAGAACTTGAAAGAAAATGGTACCCTTGCACTTCCTCAGAGAAAGTAGAGGGAAAAGACAATTAAAGACAAAAAAAGCAAATATTCTATCAAATGGAAGTCAAAATGGATATGTTTTTTAAAATAAGAACCAGAGCAGGCAAGCTGGCTATTTATAAGCACAGAATACGATACATAAAGAATCATATGAGTGATAGAGATGAAAAGCAACACGTGAATGTAGTGGTATTTAGTTTTTAAAAAAGCAGAATTTTACAACAAGCATTACAAAATATTCTAGTTAATAAATGGTTTAAACTTCATATAATCCACCAGAGGAAGCCAGTGTAATTTTCTTTCCAAGGCAATGGTATGCATGAAATGCAAGATTATGCTGAAATATTAAATACTGTAATGATTTAATATAATTTTCAATAAAACAGAATGCTGAAATATTAAATAATGATTTAATGTAGTTTTCACAGAAGTGAGACATAATCCGAAAGCTAGTGCTGCCAATTAACAAAAGACTAGATAACAGTGAAGGTTTTGAAGACAAGCCAAATCATGTATATTTTTGAATATTTTAGAAAAGCCAACAGAAAGGCAGAACTGAAAATTATCAAAGTGATAATGGATGAGTACAACACCATTACATTTGCTGCTGAGCTAGGTTTAAGAGTAAAGAAGCCAATCTGAAGTTGTACACTCAAAGTAATGGATAATCATTTGTTCTACTTACTGCAGAATGTCCATTGGAATTCCTCAGAATCAATTTTCCAATTTGACATTTAGCCTATTATTAGCAGCAGTAGAAGTACATCTCAAAGCAGACATCCTGGAAAATTAGCAAGCCATAACATGGCTTGTTTTATGAACACAATCACTGTGCTTTCTATATCATTAGCAGCACAATGTGTGAACTCAAACAATGTAACTTATTCCACTAATCATGCGTAAGCACAATGTAAAAAACACGGCTTAGCACAGCATATATACAGCTATAAATTCTTATCATCTTTTTAAAATACCTGTACTGAATAATGGAAAATTGCAATGCAGAATTAATATAGGTATCTTACAGTGCAAAATCCCATTTTTTCACATCTGGGATTTTGTGCTAATGTGTAAACATTATATGAGCCTTTGATGAAAATTAAACAGGAAGGGAAAAATTCTCCTAGCAATTTAGGAAAAAAGTAAAAAACCATGATACGAAGTTGCAGTTTCAATACTGATATAATGCCTTCCTTAAACTATGTAAGATCTGAGTTATAGATAAAGAACTTTACCTGTGAAAAAATGTAGACCTGGCCCTAGGAAGGAGGAAGGGAGCAAGGAGCTGTTAAAGGAGGATAAAAGATTACCCAGTCCCTGGAAAGAGGAAAGAATGAGAGAGAGAGACTCGAAATAACACCGCCCTGATTTTGTGTGATATAAATTGTGATAGAGGGAAACTCTGACGGGCCTTCAAGATTGGGTTATTCTACCCTACAACAATAAAAGCATTCCTGAAGACTGCTCCTGTTTCTTGTCGTCTACCTCAAAAGGCTGATAGTTTTCAAAATGCCTCTGCATAGTTTCATGACAGAATAATTACCTAGATAATAATTATCTATGTTAGATAATATTCCAGCAGAAGGGGCACATTACAGGTCCTGTCTGCTAAGGAGTTTCATCTGACAGGAGCAAGAAATACAGCCTTTTCTGCCATGGCACCCAGCCTTTGGAACATCATCTCCCACCCACCCAAGGTTAGATTGGCCCTGGCCTACTGGCTTCCAGAAGCCCTTCAGACTTGATTTTGCTATCAGGCCTGGGGATCCCATGGAAATACAGAGCCTGCAAAATAGCTATATTGTCTTTAAGATTCTGATTTCACTCTCTCATGTTTTATGTTTATAGCTTTTAATAATTTCAATTGTTTTTAACAACTTTGTTGTAATTGTTTTAATAGTTTTTTGCTTTTGCTATTTTAATAGTTTTTTGCTTTTGCTATTTTAATTGTGTGAGCTACCCAGAGTCAGATATATGAGATGGGCTCATATATTGTGTGAGCTACCCAGAGATGAGATATATGAGATAAATTCAACAAATATATAAATTGACTCCCAATAAAATAGATCAGAGAATCCCTGCGCTTGTATAATCACATTGTGGTATTGCTGTCTATTACGTTTAGTTGTCAAATCATCTTGTTCAACTGTTCTCTTCTTTAT